AGCCACTCCACACGCCTGCCTATGGAGTCCCTCAATTCCCTCAGCCCCCCAGCTGCCCAGGGCTGCTTGAGGCTCAGGTAACTAGGGCCAGCTGTGGCTTTCGCTGCCGGCAGTGGAAGCAGCAGAGGTGTGATGGAGCGTCGCCTTCCCCTGATCGCTGGGTCGCCTCTCACCCCTGAGGGCTCCCGGACTGTGAGCAGGGGCAGGCTGGGCTGAGGGACCCCCCCTCCAGTGCATGAATTTTCATGCACTGAGCCTCTAGTTTTATAAATATTTTGCTATACCCCTTTGAATACATGTTTCATTTTTTTTTTCATCCTTTGACTTGGAGTTATTGAGAACTAAAATTTTTATTGTTTTGAGCCTTGCAAACAAATTGCAACTAAAAGACACGACATAAATTTGAGAAATCACCAACAACAGCTCACGTTCATAAAATCTCAGTGATGGATGCTGTGTAAGCCATGCAGAATTTTCCTGAGCACCTGATGATCTCATCAAATACAGTCAAACTGCAAAACAAAATAATCTGATTGTCACTGCCTGCCTTCATTCCAGCAAGAGAAGCTTTCAACCTCACCTATAGAAAACTCTCAGCTGTCAGCCTTACAGACTCAGAAACTGGTTTATAATTTGCTCTGATCATCAATCTTTGTTTTTATGGACATACCCTTATTGAACACCTGATTGCTTGCTTGTACAATATAGGCCTCACTTTGGGAGTCCATCTGCATCATCATCTCCTGAAATGAGACTCAACAATTTAACTGAACTGAGTTATTTTCAGGACTAAATGATTGGATCAATAAAATGCAGAGCATTCTTCTAGAATGTGAAACTCAATTGTTTAAAGTTTTAAAACTGGGACTGAAGGGACAAAAATCCTACCACCTTTGCCCCAGAGACAATTCTCTTGACCACTAGACTGACACACAATGCAATATATGATGATGTACCATAAAGTTGTACACTTTAAAACTACATAGTCTTTTTACCCAACTAGAGGCCTGGTGCATGAAATTTGTGCAGGGTGGGGTGGTCACTCTGCCTGGCCTGCACCCTCTCCAATCCAGGACCCCTTGGGGGATGTCTGACTGCCAGTTTAGGCCTGATTCCTGTGGGACCTAAACCGGCAGTCAGACATCCCTCTCGCAATCTGGGACCACTGGCTCCTAACGGCTTGCCTGCCTGCCTGATCGCCCCTAACCACCTCTGCCTGCCGGCCTGATCGCCTCCCTAACTGCCCCCTTGCTGGCCTGATCGCCCCTAACTGCCCTCCCTTGCCAGCCTGATCACCCCTAACTGCCCTCCCTTGTCAGCCTGATCACCCCTTATGTGCCCCCCCATGCCGGCCTGATCGCTCCCTAACTGCCCCCCCTCCTGCTGGCCTGATCACCCCCTAACTGCTCCCCACCAGCCTGATCACCCCTAACTGCCCCCCCGGCACCCCACTGGCCTGATTGCCCCTAACTGCCTCTGCCTCTGCCCCTGCCACTGTGGCTTTGTCCAGAAGGACGTCTGGAAGATGTCTGGTCTAATTAGCATATTACCTTTTTATTAGTATAGATGCCACCCAATAAGTAAAAAACAAGAAACCCCACAAAATTCTGCCACCCTGAAGTGGCCCTATTAGTATGTTGATTGTAAGGGTGTTTATTAAGACTCAAAAGGAGGCTTTGACCCTCCCTCCTTTCCTGCCCAAGAGATTCAGACAGAAAACCTGCTTCAGGAAAGAGATCTTGGAATGCTGCTCTAATCTGAGTTAAATATGGTAAACGAGAGGGTTCCAAGCAGGTGCTGGTTAGCCCAGCACCCCATTTCCTGTTTGCTGAGTCACCTGGTAAAGAATTTTCCCACCATGTTTGCTCTGCTCTCCCTCAGCTACCTGTAAACTGCACATTCTCACTTGTGAAATCTAATGCTCTGTCCATTCCGCTTCTCCTTTGTCCAAAAATGTCTTATATACTCAGTGCTGCCTCACTGCCTTTGGAATTTTCATGCCTATGTGAATTTCACATATGCACGTATTAAAGTTTGATTTTCTCCTGTTAAAAAATGAAGCTCTATTTAAAAAATAACATGTAATTTAAAACTGTTTATATTTAGTATTGGTATGGTGTTTATTCTAGTTTTATTTTCTTTTAGTATTTGCAGAGGTATACACTGTTTTAATGGTATATTTTATAAATATCCATTTTTATATATATGATGAAATTTTTTGAGCCTTAATTTATTCCAACAAATGATCATTTCTAAATAAATATTCCTTGTGTGTATGAAAAAAGCAGTTATCAGTCTTTAATTACTTGATACATCTTTATATATTACTTTAATTCAGTCTGTTAATTGTTTTATTCAAATATACAGCACAAATACTTCTTAATTTTAATTTTTAAATTAAATTTATTGGGGTGACATTGGTTTATAAGATGATATAGGTTTCAAGTGTCCGTTTAGATTATACATCATCTGTATATTGCATTGTGTGCCCACCACCCAAAGTCAATCATCTTCCATCACCATATATTTGGCCCCCTCTGTAACCACATACCGTTGTCTGTGTCTATGAGTTTGCTTTATATCCCATATATGAGTGAGATCATATAGTTTTTAGCTTTTTCTGACTAATTTCACTTAGCATAATATTTTCAAGGTCCATCCATATTGTTGCAAATGGCAACATTTCACCTTTTCTTATGGGTGAGTAGTATTCCATTGTAACAATATACCACATGTTCTTTACTTAATCATTCATTGAAAACACTTTGTCTCCATGTCTTGGCCACTGTGAATAATGCCACAATGGACAAATTTTTGAAAAAGGAGCCAAAACATTACATGGAAAAAAGAAATCCTCTTCAATAAATGGTGCTGGGAAAATTGGAAAGTCACATGCAAAAGAATAAAACTAGACTACAGTTTGCCCATGTACAAAAGTTAACTCAAAATATATCAAACGCCGAGATGTAAGGACTCAAACAATAAATTACATGGACGAAAACATAGGTACTAAATTTTTGGACCTTGGTATTAGAGAACATTCCCAAAGTCAAGGAAGTAAAGGCAAAAATAAATGAATGGGGCTCTATCAAACTAAAAAGCTTCTGCACAGCACAAGAAACTGCCAACAAAACACAAAGGCAACCAACAGAATGGGAGGAGATATTTGCAAACACAGCTCCCACGAAGGTTTCATATCCAAAATATATAAAGAACTCATGCAATTCAACAGTAATGATTTTAAAGTCCATTTTCTATCACAGTGAGTGAGAATAATTTTTATTTTTAACTTTTATTTCAATTTTTAAAAATTTAATTTATTGGGGTGACATTAGTTAAAATTTATATAGGTTTAAAATGTATAATTTTATGACACATCATTTGTATATTGCATTGAAACAAATGAGAATGATGATACAATATATCAAAACTTTTGGGATGCAGCACTCCCAGTAATATGAGGGAAGTTTATGTCATTACAGGGCTACTTAAGAAACAAGGAAAATCTCAAGTAAACAACCTAACATTACATCTTGAAGTAGAAAAAGAAGAACAAAAGCAGCCCAAGTCAGCAGAAGAAAAGAAATGTAAAAATTAGGGGAGAATTAAATGAAATAGAGAACAAAATCTATACAAAAATTAATGCAACCAAGACCAGTTTCTTTGAAAAGATTCATAAAACTGAGAGAAGCATGCTTATAAGTTACTACTACAATCATGAATTAGTCTGTTTTTCCTTGAATCCCCCCTCCATTTTATATATTTTGAGTTCATATTTTTGGACACCTAACATTTTTAACAATGTCTTTTTTTTCTTTATTGATTAAGGTATTACATATGTGTCCTTCCCCCCCATTGC